ATTACAGGCATGCACCACCACGCCCAGCTAAGTTTTTTTTTGTATTTTTAGTAGAGACAGGGTTTCACCGTATTGGCCAGGCTGGTCTTGAACCCCTGACTTTGTGATCTGCCCCTCTTGGCCTTGCAAAGTGCTGGGATTACAGGCGTGAGCCACCGCACCCGGCCGACTCACTCTTTTTTTTGTTCGTTTTTGAGATGGAGTCTTGCTCTGTCGCCCCGGCCTGAGTGCAGATCTTGGCTCACTGCAGCCTCCGCCTCCCAGGTTCAAGCAATTCTCCTGCCTCAGCCTCTCCAGTAGCTGGGATTATGGGCACCCGCCACCATGTCCGGCTGCTTTTTGTATTTTTAGTAGAGACAGGGTTTCACCATTTTGGCCAGGCTGGTCTTGAACTCTTACCTCAAGTGATCCGCCTGTGAGGGGGGACTCTTGCAGCAAGCCGGGCCTGAGCAGGCTTGGCTCGCGAAGGGCTGGGGTGAAGATGGAAGCTCCTGGGAGCTCATCAGGGCCTGTCCTCCAGATGAGCGGGAAGCCGTACAGAAGAAAACCTTCACCAAGTGGGTGAACTCGCACCTTGCCCGCGTGGGCTGCCACATCGGGGACCTCTATGTGGACCTCCGGGACGGCTTCGTGCTCACGCGGCTCCTGGAAGTGCTGTCTGGGGAGCAGCTGGTGAGAGGGCCTGAAGGGCTGGGGCAGGGGTCCTCCCTGGGGTCTCAGGCTGGGGTTGGGCTTCTCTGGAAGGGCTGAACTGCAAGTAGGGGCCTGGCTCATGGGCGGGTGGAGCGTGCTAGAAGGGCCCTGTGGGTAAGAGGTCCCTCTACATGGGTGTGTGGAGCTGTGGCGCTGAGGCGGAGCTCGGTTGTGAGACACCTGGGCACATGACTGGAACCGAAGCTGATGACCAGCTAGCTGCAGTTGCGAGGCCGGGCTTCGATGGAAGGGGAGGCACTCTGTTGCAAAGGGCAGGGCTATTAGATAAGGGAGGAGTTTTGTTAGAAGGGACTGGCCTGGGGTATGAGCTAGCAGGGGCATGGCTATAAAACAGCGGCAGAACTGTGTTGCGGGTTGCGGGAGTGGGGAGTGGATGAAGGTGCGGGGCTCTAGGCTAAGGGGCAGTGTTTCTTAGTAGGGTGACACCTAGGTCCTGGGTGTCTAGGGACGCAGACGGTGTCCTGGGATGTGGCTTGTTGTATGAGTTGGAGCTGTGTCTCTGGGTTGAATGGGGTTTCATCTAAAAGCGTGGGATTCTCAAGGGGTAGTACAGATTCGTTAAAGGACTGGAGCCTGGAGCCTTCAGGGACTTGTGAGGGGCATGGCAATAGAATAGGAACAAACAGCCGGGTGTGGTGGCTCATGCCTGTAATCCTAGCACTTTGAGGGGCCAAGGCGGGAGGAACACTTGAGCCCAGGAGTTTCAGACCAGCCTGGACAACATAATGAGACCCCCGTCTCTACGTTTTTTTTTTTTGTTTGATTGTTTTTGTTTTTAAATTAGCCAGGCGTGGTGGCACGAGCCTGTAGTCCCAAGTACCCAGGAAGTTGAGGCGAGAGGATTGCTTGAGCCTGGGAGGTCGGTAGGCTGCAGTGGGCCATGATTGCACCACAGCTCTCCACTCTGGGCGACAAGGCCAGACTCTTGTTCTCTCTTTTTTCTTAAAAAAAATTTTTTTTTTAAAAATAGATACGAGGACCCACTATGTTTCCAGGCTGATCTAGAACTCCTGGATTCAAGCTATCCTCCAGTTTCGGCCTCCCAAAGTGCTGGGATTTCAGGCGTGAGCCACAGCACCTGGCAGAGACCCTCTCTCATAAATAAATAAATAAATAAATACCCACGCGCTGTGGCGAGACTCCGTCTCTACAAAAAGAATTTTAAAAACTCAAAGAGCATTAGCGGGGCGTGGTGGCGGGCACCTGTAGTCCCAGTTACTCAGGAGGCTGAGGCAGGAGAATCGCTTGAACCCAGGAGGCAGAGGTTGCAGTAAGCCAAGATCGCGCGACTGCACTCCAGCCTGGGCGACAGACAACAAAACAAAAAAAAAAAAAAAAAAAAAAAAAAAAAAAAAAAAAAAGAGTAGCAACCAACGCTGTTGGAAGTGAGCTATAAACATGGGGAAGATCACTGGGGCAGGGCGGAGCTTAATTGGAATGGGCGTGGCTCTGGGTAGGGATCATAAAGGGAAGCAGTGAGGCAGAGGCAGCGAGGGGTGTGACACAGGATTTTTTTTTTTAGACGAAGTCTCACTGCCTCACCCAGGCTGGAGTGCAGTGGCATGATCTCGGCTTACTGCAGCCTCCGCCTCCCGGGTTCAAACGATTCTCCTGCCTCAGCCTCCCGAGTAGCTGGAATTGCAGGAGCCCGCTGCCACGCCTGGCTAATTTTTGTATTTTTAGTAGAGACAGTGTTTTGCCTTGCTGGCCAGGCTGGTCTCGAACTCCTCGCCTCAAGTGAACCACCCACCTCGGCCTCCCAAAGTGCTGGGATTACAGGCGTGAGCCACCGTGCTGGGGCGGCCATGGGATTAGCGGCAAAACATTGGTGGACGAGAGAGGGATCCAATGCCAGGGCCAGCGCTGTGGCTATGGGCTAGGAGGGCGGGGCTTCATGATGAGGGGGCGTAGTTGTCAGGTTGGAAGTGGGGCGCCTGTGGAAGGGGCAGAGCCAGGGACGTGAATAAGCCTTGAAGGTATGTGACTCTTGAAAGGGTCTGGCTATGGGACGGAGCAGGGCTTCTTTAGAAGGACTGAGTCCTGCGTCTTAGTTGAAACGAGAAGAGGATAGCCTGATCCTGGACACGCAGGGGGCGTGGCCATGGGAGGCGGGCTTCTTTGGAAGGGGCGGGGCCGAGGGAGCCATGCTCCTGTCTGTCCAGACCCCCGATCGCCCACCACCCCTGTCGTCCTAGCCCAGGCCCACGCGCGGCCGCATGCGGATCCACTCACTGGAGAACGTGGACAAGGCACTGCAGTTTCTGAAGGAGCAGCGCGTGCACCTGGAGAACGTGGGTTCACATGACATCGTGGATGGGAATCACCGGCTGACGCTGGGGCTGGTCTGGACCATCATCCTGCGCTTCCAGGTGACCCTCGAGTGGCCCCTGTCAAGCCCCGCACCAGTAGGACTTAGGAAGGCGTTCCCCACCGTTTACCCATTCATTCATTCCTTCCAATAATATCCTTTTTTTTTTTTTTGAGACGGAGTCGCTCTCTGTCGCCTAGGCTGGAGTGCAGTGGCGTGATCTCTGCTCACTGCAAGCCCCCTCTGCCGAGTTCACGTGATTCTCCTGCCTTAGCCTCCTGGGTAGCTGGGACTACAGGTGCCCGCCACCAGACCTGGTTAATTTTTTGTATTTTTAATAGAGACAGGGTTTCACCGTGTTAGCCAGGATGGTCTCGATCTCCTGACCTCGTGATCCACCTGCCTCAGCCTCCCAAAGTGCTGGGATTACAGGCGTGAGCCACCGCGCCCGGCCAGTAATATCCTAATATGCTGGAATCCTATTCCAGGTGGTAGGGATGAAAATAATGATGAAAGGAATTGTCATATCACCACCATCACGATAATCATGTTATGTTGTATCGACCTTGTTTCAAACACTGTTCTAAGCACTTGACATTTAATACACATAGCAACCCCACAAATTAGACAGTATTTATTAGCCCATTTTGCCAGTGAGGAAATGGAAGCCCAGATAGGAGGTGTCATCTGCCCAGGATCACACATAGCTGGGTGTTGGAGCTGAAATTAGAATCCAGGCAATCTTGATCCAACATAGAGACAAACAGACAAAGATGTGCCTTTTAGGAGCTTACATTGTGGTGAGAAGAATAATGAATAATAGCAGAGACAGTGTTTTACCATGTTGGCTAGGCTGGTCTCGAACTCCTCGCCTCAAGTGATCCACCCGCCTCGGCCTCCCAAAGTGCTGGGATTACAGGCATGAGCCACTGCGCCTGGGCGGCCACGGGATTAATGGCAAAACATTGGTGGACAAGAGAGGGATCCAATGCATAATGATGCATAATAAATACATAAATATGTAAAGAAGACATATATGGAAAAAGGACCAGTTCTAGTTAGAGGAGAAGTGTAAAAAGCTATGCAGGGCCAGGTGAAGTGGCCTGTAATCCCAGCACTTTGGGAGGCTGAGGTGGGAGGAACACTGAGGCCAGGAGTTTGAGACCGGCCTGGCCAACTTAATGAGACCTTTAAAATTTTTTAAAAATTAGCTGGGCACGGTGGTGTGTGCCTGTGGTCCCAGCAGCTACTCAGGAGGCTGAGGCAGGAGAATCGCTTGAACCTGGGAGGCGGAGGTTGCAGTGAGCTGAGATCGCACCATTGCTCTGTAGCCTGGGCAACAAGAGCGAAACCCCATCTCTAAAAGAAAAGAAAGAAAGGAAGAAAGGAAAGAAAAGAAAGAAAAGAGCCAGGCGTGGTGGCTCACGCCTGTAATCCCAGCACTTTGGGAGGCCGAGGCAGGTGGATCATGAGGTCAGGAGATCAAGACCATCCTGGCTAACACAGTGAAACCCCGTCTCTACTAAAAATACAAAAAATTAGCCGGGCGTGGTGGTGGGCACCTGTAGTCCCAGCTACTTGGGAGGCTGAGGCAGGAGAATGGCATGAACCTGGGAGGCAGAGCTTGCAGTGAGCCTAGATTGCACCACCGCATTCCAGCCTGGGCGACAGAGCAAGACTCTGTCTCAAAAAAAAAAAAAAGAAAGAAGGGAGGGACGGAGGGAGGGAGGGAAGGAGGGGAGGAAGGAAGGAAGGAAGGAAGGAAGGAAGGAAGGAAGGAAGGAAGGAAGGAGGGAAGGAGGGAAGGAAAGAAAGAAAGATCCCTCTGGGTTGGAGGTGTTCACCAATATTGGGAGCCAAGAGCCCAGGGAGGAGGATGAAGTTGGATCAGGGTGGGACTATGTGGAGGCAAAAGGGGGCAGGCTGGGGAGACACTCAGGGAGTGGAGTGGACAGGCCTTATGGGAGGGAAGAGGGAGACGGTGTCCAGGGGAAGACTCAGAGCTCTGACCTGGGGACTAGAGGATGATGGGGCTGCCCTGAGACAGGGACAGGGAAAGGGAGCAGGTTTGAGGAACACCCTGAGGGCCAGTTTGAAATAGGTCCAGTGGTTATGGGTCCAGGACATAGAAGAGCTGGGGGACATCTAGGAGTCCACTGGGTCCTGGGCATGGAGCTCAGGGAACAAGGAGACACTGGAGACAGGTATGGACACTGTCAGTACAAAATTGAGGAATGAGATCATGAGAGTGGGAGATCACTGCTGGCAGCTGGAGCCTTGCAGTAGGGGCTGGGACCTCCTTAGAAGGGTCTTGGTTCTTTCCCTTGGAACCCACATGCCAAACCTAGTTCCTAAATCCAGGACCCAAGTCTCAGATACCCACCTTAGGCTCTAGAATCCACTCTAGATTCTGGGCCATTCAGAACTTTATCAAACACTACTAAGTGAGATACAACCATGCACAAAACAGGTAAACATCCCTGTGGTCCTGGAGCTTTTACATTTTAGTGGGGAAAGCAGTAAATCTGATGAAAAGATAAAGTGTATAGGCTGTGGTAAATGCTAAGAAGATAATAAAACAGGGAAGGGGATATGAAATTTGGGTGCGTGATGAGATTTAAAAATCAAATGGTCAGTGAAGGCCTTACAGAGAAGGTCACATTTGAGTAAAGACCTGAAGGAGGTTGGAGCCATGTGGGACTTGGGGAAAGGATATTCCAGTTAAAGGGAACAGCCAGTGCTAAAGGACCAAGGAGGGAGAATGCTCGTGATTCAGGGAAGAGGCCAGCAGGTATGGAGTGGAGTGAGCTGTTGAAGATGAGGTCATCAATTTACTGAAGGGAGATCATGGGAACTTTCAATTTACCTTGAATGAAACAGAGATACGGAGGGTGTTGACAAGAGGAGCAAGGATCTGATTTGAGTGTTCACAGGGTCCCTCCGTCTGCCAGGTAGGTAACAGATTGTGGATGCGGGAGTGGGGAGATCAGCATGAAGGCCACCGCACTAACTTAGGCAGGAGACAGTGGTGACTTAGACCAAGAAAGTGGCCCAGATGCTCAGTTTGGAGGCTTCCTTGGAAACTGAGACCTGAGTCCTAACTGCTCGCCTAATTGTGGATGTCCTGGCCCACTCCAGAACTTATCCTCACACTCCTGAACCCCCACTCCCAGCTAGAAGCTGCCTCCCCCATCTCCTCTGTCACCTGCCACCCTCTCTGGTAGCAGATGGTGAGTGGGGGGCGTCTCCAAGCCTCAAGCTCTCCAGTCCCTGGTAGCCATTTTTTGTATTTTCACAGATTCAAGTCATCAAAATTGAGACTGAGGACAACAGAGAGACACGCTCAGCCAAGGATGCTCTGCTCTTGTGGTGTCAGATGAAGACAGCTGGGTAAGCACCCCCAACACCTTCCTTAGGAGGTTAGGCAAGTGGTCCCCTAACCTCTGCAGTTCCTTCCCAGACTAGAGCTCAAGAGGCAGCCCATGTCTTCAGGGTCAAAAAGTTACATCTGAAGCTAACCAACTGGTAAATAAAATATATCCACGTCTCCAGCCTTGACTAATAATCCTTCCTAACATGCTGGAAGGATGGGTTCAAATGTATTTATTTACTTAGAGACAGGGTCTTGCTCTGTCACCTGGGCTGGAGTGCAGTGGCATGATCATAGCTCACTGAAGCCTTGACCTCCTAGGTTCCAGTGATCCTCTCTTCTCAGCCTCCCAAGTAGCTGGGACCACTGCACCCCACCCAGTTTCAAATGTAGAACTCTTGGCCTCACTGGGCACAGTGTCTCATGCCTATCACTTTAGGAGAATGAGGTGGAAGGATTACTTGAGGCTAGGGCTTTGAGACCAGCCTAGGCAACATAGCAAGACCCCATCTCTACAAAAAGTTGGTTTATTGTTGTTGTTGTTGTTGGACACACGTCCATAATCGTAGCTTCTCAGGTTCTCAGGAGGCTGAGATGGGAGGATTATTTGAGTCCAGGAGTTCAAGGGTGCAGTGAGCTACAATCATGCCACTGCGCTCCAGCCTAGGCTACAGAGCAAGACCCTGTCTTGAAAATAAATAACAAACAAATAAATGAACAAATAAATAAATAAAAATAAAAGAGAACTCTTGGACTCCTCAGAGACCAATGCTGGAAAGAGGTGAACTGTCCCCAGCCTGCTCTCTTCTCTCTGTCCCCCATCCCATTTCATCCTACATTTCAAGAGATCTCACATTCACCTATGTGGACCTTCAGCGCTATGTCCAAGCTCTGGCCACCCTCTCCCGCTATGAGCATCACCCTTCTGCCTCACAGGGCATACACAGGAAAGTTCAAAGTCCTGGGTCCCTTCAGTGTGGCTGAGCTGGCGGCGGGGTGGAGTGCAGGCTCTACTGGGCAGGTTCCCTTGGGCCCCCAACTCTCTGCCCTGCAGGGGGCAGTAAGACCTGAAACTCTATTGTCCCCTGTAGAGCAGCCCCTAGGAGGATGGAGGGAGGGGCAGGTATGGGATGGAGGTGGGCTTCTCTGACTCTCATCCTTCTGGGCTGTCTGTCTTGCAAGGGAGATCATGGGGACTTTTACCATCTGTTTCTCCATGTGTCTGTCTGTCTCTACGTCTGCTTTTCCTTGTACTTATCTCTTTTCTCCTCCCTCCTTCTCTCCTTTCCTCCTTCCCTTTTCTCTTCCTTCATGTCTTCTTTCTCTCTTCTCTCCTTTCTCTCCCCATCTCTGTCTGTATCTTGCTCTCTCCCTGTCTTGCTATCTCTCTGCTTCCTCCTTCTCTCCCTCTGCTTCCTCCTTCTCTCCTTCCCTCTTCTCTCTTCTTTCTTTTGCTTCTTTTTCTCTCCTCTCCTGCTATCTATCTATCTATCTATCTATCTATCTATCTATCTATCTATCTATCTATCTATCTATCTATCTATCTTCTGTCAATCTATATATCTATCATCTATCAACCTCTATCTATCTATCTATCTATCTATCTATCTATCTATCTATCTATCTATCTATCTCTTATCTATCTATCATCTATCTATGTATCTACCTATCTCTCTCTCTAACCACCCAACACCCACCCACCCATACATCTTTCGATGTTCTACCCCCTCTCTCTCACCTTCCTTCCCTATCATTCGGTCTCCCTCTTTTTCCCTCTTTCTTCCCTCCTAACTCTCCCCAATCTCTGCCTCCGTTTCTCCCTTCACACTTCCAGTTACCCTGAGGTAAACATCCAGAATTTCACCACCAGCTGGCGGGATGGCTTGGCCTTCAATGCCCTCATTCACCGGCACAGGTACCACTCGGCCTGGGGCAGCCCAGCCCTGCCCTGCACCCTCCCCTATCCCCGCAGCTGCACACCTGTACATGTACGTGTGTAGATGGCACACACAGACATAAAGACCCATCCCTTCACCTCTACACACACATACACTTTTCTTTCCCTTCACACACATGTCCTGCACATTTACACACAGGAACACCCACACAGGCTCCTGTCCAGGCCACATACCCTGTGCACACACATGGACACACATAAGCCCTCGCACAGATGTGTGCACACACACAGATACCCACACACGTGCACAGTCTGCCAGCAAGGTAGGAAGTTCGGTCCCCTGTCACTGTCCATGCTGCTGTGTACCCAGCACCTCCTCCTATCAGAAAATGCTTTCTCAGGTCAGGCACGGTGGCTCACGCTTGTAATTCCCGTACTTTGGGAGGCTGAGGCGGGTGGATCACCTGATGTCAGGAGTTCAAGACCAGCCTGGCCAACATGGCAAAACCCCATTTCTACTAAAAAAAAAAAAAAAAAAAAAATTAGCCAGGCGTGGTGGTGCACCCCTGTAATCCCAGCTACCGGGGAGGCTGAGGCAGGAGAATCGCTTGAACCTAGGAGTTGGAGGTTGCAGTGAGCCAAGATTGTGCCACTGCACTCCAGCATGGACAACAGTCAGACTCCACCCCTACCCCCACCCAAAAGACAAGAAAATAAAAGAAAATGCTTCCTCAAAGTGAGCCCCTAGTGTCCCCATCCCTGTACACCCACGGATTGATAACTTGGGGCCTGCCATTGAAATGGCTGAGGGTCAGACACCCACACAAATTATACACACATCATCATCGTCCACATGACATATCGGAGAAACTGAGTCTCAGGCGCAGGAAGGGGATTGTGGTGGTGTAGCAGAAGCCAGAATCCAGCATTTTCTGCTGTGGACACCTGTCCACTCACAATCCCTGCCTCTTACACCTACACACACTTGTACACACATGGGGAAACCCAGACCCACCTCCATCTACAGAAACTCACAAGCTGCACCAGGGTCATCCTCACATTAGGTGACATTCGCTCAGTGTTTTCTACGCACAGGCACTGTTCTAAGTGCTTCCCACTACAGCATTCAATAGTCAATGTATCCATTCAATGTGTCCGATCCACCTGTGGGCAGGTGCTATTTTTATTTATTTATTTATTGTGAGGGTGAGTCTTACTCTGTCGCCCAGGCTGGAGTGCAGTGGCATGATCTCAGCTCGCTGCAACCTCTGCTTCCCAGATTCAAGCGATTCTCCTGCCTCAGCCTCCTGAGTAGCTAGGATTACAGGCGCCCGCCACCACACCCGGAGAATTGTTCTATTTTTAGTAGAGATGAGGTTCCACCATGTTGGCCAGGCTGGTCTTGAACTCCTGAACTCAGGTGATCCACCCACCTCAGCCTCCCAAGTAGCTGGGATTACAGGCATGTGCCACCATGCCCAGCTAATTTTGTATGTTTACTGGAGATGGAGTTTCACCATTTGGGCCAGGCTGGTTTCAAACTCCTGACCTCAGGTGATCTGCCTGACTCAGCCTCCCAAAGTGCTGGGATTACAGGCAAGAGCCACCGTGCCTGGCCGGCAGGTACTATTATATCTCCATTTTAGAGGAAACCCAAGCACAGAGAAATGCAGTAGCTCATCCTGAGTGACACAACCAGGATGTGACCAAGCTGGGGCTCAAGCTCTGATGAACTGGCTCTGGTCCCCACACTTCTAACCACTGCATAACACCACATAAGAATCCCCAAAGTAAGCATGTATGTGTCAACTAGTATATTGTGTCCTGGCTAGGCACAGTGGCTCACACCTGTAATGCCAGCACTTTGGGAGGCCTAGGCAGGTGGATCACTTGAGGTCAGGAGTTCGAGACCAGCCTGGCCAACATGGTGAAACCCTGTCTCTACTAAAAATATAAAAATCAGCGGGGCGTGGTGATGCACATCTGTAATCCCAGCTACTCGGGAGGCTGAGGCAGGATAATTGCTTGAACCCGGGAGACGGAGGTTGCAGTGAGCCGAGATCGCACCCCTGCACTCCAGCCTGGGTGACAGAGCGAGACTGCATCTGAAAAAAAAAAAAGAAAAGAAAAGAAAAGAAAAAAGAAAAGAAGTACATGTGTCCTTACACAACACACATAAGGGCTGTACACACTCGTATTGTCATAGGACTTCACAGAGACATACACAGGCACGCACCGTGTGAGCTCATCTCTTCCAAGCACACTCAGGCTGGCCTACCCATTCGTCTGTGTGCACAGGCCAGCCCAGCAACAAATGCACATGCACACACACATTCCCGGGAACCCACAGAGACGTGCCTGCGTCCATCACACTCACATCACAGCTAAACGCTGCACAGCACACACAGCATGGCCCTTGGCTAGACTGTGCCCTTGTGCCCCTTGCCCTGGGTGGCGCTCAGACAAGGGTGGCCTCCTCCCGGCTTGCCCGCCGGCTCTGGAGCCTGCCTGCTGCCTGCCTGCCTGCTCTGTGCCCCTGCCCAGGCCCGATCTCGTGGACTTCAGCAAACTCACCAAGTCCAACGCCAACTACAACCTACAGAGAGCCTTCCGCACAGCTGAGCAGCACCTGGGGCTGGCGCGGCTGCTGGATCCTGAAGGTGAGTCTCGCGCGGGCCCAGCCCGGACTTCCTCTTGGGGGACTCCCAACCCCAATGCCATGTCAAACTCAACTCCATCCCACCCCAGCACCATCCCAAATCCTGAGGTCTCTCCAAATCCCAACTCTCTCCCCAGCCTCCTCCCTTCTGCATCCCCTTCCTCCTGTGTGATCCCTCCCACGTTCCATCCTCACACCTCTTCCTCTCTCATCCCCAACCCTGTCCCAACGTAACCCCTCCTCTTCCCCATTCGCAATTTCCTCCCTCCCCAATACCCTCCCCAACCCTGCTTTCAACCATCTCCCCCAAAACCAACTCCCACTCCCCTACCCCAGCCCCAAACCCAATGGCACCTTCAACACCATCGCCACCCCAATGCCACCCCATCTTCAAGTGTCTCCATCCCCACCACATCTTCAGCTCCAGCTCCATTTCTATCCCCACCCTAATCCATTTCCAACCTCATTTTGCCCTAGCCCATCCCCATGTCTACCTCTCCCACAACTCGATCCTCATCCTCAGCTGCTTTTCCATTTCCAGTCTATCCCTAACCCCATCCCTGACTTCAGCCTCAGCCCCAATCCAGGATCAGCCCTGACACCCACCTCCCATTCCGAATCAAAGCTGCTCCCTTCCTCTGAGCTCTACTGTCTGCCAAACATGTGGCTGGGAACTCTATGAGAGCTATTCACTTTCATCTTCACACTGACCTGGTTAGAGAGAATCTATCAACCCTGTTTTATTTTATTTATTTATTTATTTATTTATTTATTTATTTATTTATTTATTTATTTATTGAGACAGGGTCTGGCTCTGTTGCCTAGGCTGGAGTGCAGTGGTGTGATCTCGGCTCATTGCAACCTCAGCCTCCCAGGCTCAAGTGATTCTCCCATCTCAGCCTCCCAAGTAGCTGGGACTACAAGCGTGCGCCATCACACCTGGCTGATTTTTGTATTTTTAGTAGAGAGGGGGTTTCACCATGTTGCCCAGGCTGGTCTCAAACTCCTGACCTCAGGTGATCTGCCCACTTCAGCCTCCTAAACTGTTGGAATTATAGGTGTGAGTCACTGCACCTGGCCATTTTATTTTACTTATTTGTTTTTATTCATTTATTTATTATTCTTGTATTTATTTATTTTTTGAGACAGAGTCTTGCTCTGTCACAGACTGGCGTGCAGTGGGGGTGATCCCAGCTCACTGCAAC